GGTATTTGGAAACAACATAGGATCATACATAAACTACTGTAATAAAACTTCAACAGCTTGCTTGTTCCAAGAGCATTGTCTTGTGACTCATCAGAACAGGTCTCAGAAGTTATTGTCAAGGATCACTTCAAACTGCAAGTTTTTTCTGGCTCACAGTGAGAGACTGTACTAAAACTGTTTTATAATCAGATCACATCTGTATTTTCGTTCTACCTTTAGCAGTTCCAGTTTAGATTACATTAAACTGGCAAGGGTTACGACTAAGAACACACAACATTGTCCAAAATCTTTTAGCCAATAACATACTTAAACAACAAATATTTGGTTATTTTTTTATTTTCCTTCCAACTGTAATAATTCTGTCCTTTTTGAACAGAACACACACAGAGAACATCTTGTCTCTGATACACACACATTCACTTATTTCAGCTATAATCCAGAATGTGTATTTAATACTAACAGAGGAACAATACGGATGTTTTTCTCAGGGAAACCTTGTGTTCACAGACTGTAAATCCAAAGGGCTACCAATGCATTTCCACATTCCAAAACAACAATCTTGGAACAGAAGTAGACACAGACCATCCTGTTTACCACCAAATGCTTTAATGAATCCAGTAGATTAGAACCTCTCCCAACACAAAGGTTTATCAAGCAGTATGGATGATGCACATTGTAAGGCTTTGCACAATTCTCAGCAACATTCAAGGTGCTCAGAGCTTATTTCTACTGCAGATTTTTTTTCCTCCCTTTAAACAGACACATTACTACTGTATCAATTTAAATATTTACCTCTAGTGCACGAGGTATCCATCCTTTCCGGTAACCGTATGGGGGAGGTTCCCTTCTCGAGGAGACCAGAGCAGCCTGCCTGGATCTCTGAGCTCTTGCTCTTTCTTCTAGTTCTAGCTGATCTTGGGACAGCTGGGTTGGAGCTGGCAAAAAACTGGACACCCATGGACAGCAACCAAAAGAGAATGACATAAAAAGTTAATTCTGGTAACTTCACTCACAGGCACTCAACTATGCTTGACTGAACTTCTTGCTAAGTTAATACTTTCTCGACAATCGTTCTGTAGGTTAAGAAACAATTTATGAAACTTGAGCATTGCACTCATAAATGTCAGGGCAACTTCTAAGATTCAGTAACTTCGGATGTTACAGTTGCAATGTGTGCTTTCTCAGCATTCTGAAAGATTCCTACAAAAACAAATGCTAAATTCACACACATTCACATCTTTCTTGAATAGAAGAGTGGCAAGGCCCGTTTTCCAACAGGAATGCCACATATCACTGGTATTCTTTACCCTACTATGAATAAGAAAGAAATATTATGTTCCAGTGTCTCTAGTCCCAGTGATTCGTTCTTCCTTTCTCTCAAGGCAAACATCCACAGACAGACCTGACAACGACCTCTCTTCTCTACCCCTGACACCTCCTGCCAAGGGTAAGTCGAACCCCAATTTCTTCACTTCCCCTTTTTCATCTCTTCTTGTCTACACAGCCCTTTTGTGCATTTACTAAGAAAGTATCCAGAGAAACTCGGGATTCCGGGGCAGCCACCGGAACTGCACTCCCATGCCCTGCGAGAGACACTACAAATCGTAACAAAGACCGCGCGCCCTCTCCGACGGTGAAGAAACCTCGACAAAACCCCACGGACCCAACCGAGGCGGAGGAGCTCCTTCTACCCGCAGTGAACAGGCGAAAGAAGCAGAGCCCTGACCAGGGCTAAACCCCCAGGGCCACCCCGGCCCGACCGGCCTTCGCCGCACTCTCTGCGGCCGCGGCCCGGCCGGCGGGCCCACTGCCCAGGAGAGGCTGCGGCCCCTCCGCGCACTCCCTAGCCGCGGCCGCTCCCGTCGGCGGAGCCCCGCAGCGCGGCGGGGAATCCCCGGCCCGGCCGGGGGAACCGCAGCGCCCTCACGGCCCGGGCGGGCCCGCCCGACCCACCTGGTGAGCGCCATCTTGTCCGCGCAGGCCGTCCGCCCGGCAGCCGAGGAGCAGGGAGACAGCGACACCTGCACATGCGCGGTAGCCGCAGTGTACCCTGGGAGTTGTAGTCTTCGTGAGGGCACTCGCGGCGCGGCGGCGCACGCGGTGGGCCGCAAGGCATCCTGGGAGGTGTAGTTTTGCGGTGTCCCCGTTTATTTCTTCAGCCGTCCTATTCCGCTCCCCGGCACTATTCACACAGTCTCCAAGCTCAGTAACTTCACAGTTCATACAGCTGAATATGTCCAAGTAAAAAGCATAAAATATAGAGCAAGTAGATCAGAATAAAATTTATTCTGATACACCTGCTGTTTAGAAATCGTTGAACTGGGACATGGGAGTGAAGGAAAGAAAAGAGACTGAAAGTGGTGTAAAAATATTGATTGAAAAGAGAAGAATTTCTGCATTAAAAAGGAGTTGTGCTGTCTATGTTAAATGAGCATCCATAACATAGGAGTTCTTTAAATCAAATCAAGAGATGCACTCTTTAGAATACAATTAAAATTTGGAATATGGAACAATATTTCTCAGGGAGTTGTAATAAATGGGAACTAAGTGGAGCTTTACATAGGAAAATCTATTTTCCTATGTAAAGCTATAAACTATTTGATTTAAAGTGGCAATATATAGCACCGTATATAACCAAAGACAGTAATAAGTCGCTATTGTTGTCACCTCTAGTGAATCAAAGGCAGAAGAGTCCCACTGAGCCAGGCATGGTTCATCTAGAAGAGAAACGGAAGCCAGACAGGGAAAAAAAGGGTAGAATGACTAAAGAAACAAACATGGTCTATCAGAGATTTTAAAAATCACACCGTAAGAGGCAGGAATACAATAAGACAGAGTAACTGTCTTGCAGCCCTCTAGTCATTCTGTCTGCCCTATCATCTCCTAATCTGAAGGGTGAACTACTCCTTCAGGATAAATTAATCTGCTACAACTGTTTGGACTGGGGAGATTTGGAGGAAGGTAAGGGTAATCCTGTGCAGTCTCTCTATGTCTGAACTCGTCAGCTCCAGTGGGAATCAGCTTTTGGCTTAACACTGTGGTAACAGCAGCTCTGTCACCACCTCTATGAGTGACAGATACTTGCCCTTCTCTCTGAGATTGCTGGTGTCTTATGAGCAATTCATACAAAGGTAAAGATACAAGACTTTGTCACCCAACATTTATCAATTATTTTCCTAAGCAAAACTCATCTGTCATCCCTTCTACCCAATTCTGTCACTCATTTAATAACAGTATTGCTGTTGTCATATCTGGCAATATTGCCACCTGATTCAGGAGACTGCTTTCCCCCATAGAAAAGGGGGCCCTTAGAAGCTGCCAAGCTCTCTGTGCTCAGCTGCTATACTAGTCTCAGTGAAAAAATTATGTTTTATCCCTCCTATTTTAACATTTCTCCTTCTTTCTTTGCTGTGGAGTATTATTTAATGCTGTATGGGGGGAATGTATCACCACACTATTACTCCTATCTTCTGCTTATGATGATGCTTTGATTAAAGAATTAGCACTGTGCAACACTTGAAGAGGTGTGTCACTGGGGTTGGGAAGTGGCTGGCATTTCAAGGTACAAAGGAATCAGCAGTGGATCAATGTTGGATAAGGTATTTCTGAGGAAGTTACAGAGGAAGGCACACACTATGATTTATGCTAGTCACCATTTTCATCAGCTTGCTGTCAATATGAAATTGCTATTCATAAAGTGTATGTTTCAAAATGAGTGGCAAAATGTTCAGGGATACTGGAAGGAGAGTCATACAGTGTGAGCTAGATGACTTGGTAAGTAGAGCTCATTTAAATGAGCTGTGTTCCAACATCCCATCGTGCAAACTCACATATCTGTAAGCAAAAAATGTGGGGTTAAATACAGGCTGTGCTGGGAACCAGTGGCTCTGAAAAGGATCTGTGAGGGTTATGAGAGACAAGGAGCTTAGAACAAATTTATTGCGCTATGAAGTAACAAAAAGTCTCATGCAGGCCATGGATGTGGAAGAAGGGATATGGTGAACTCTAGAGGGACTCTTGTCCTGGGCTTCAAGTTTAAAACAATTCTGGAAGGTAGAAGAGGGTTAAAAGACTACAAAGGTAAGATAAGGCTATCATTAATTGGAAGTGTAGGGGAAATACAATAAGTTGATTTGTTTTGTGGTGAAGTTTAAGAGGTAAATGTTACTATTGCCAGATTAGAATGAGGTTAACTCCATTTATCTGCTCTTTGACAATTAGATTACAAGGAAAAATTACCTGAGTGAGCAAATGAAAACATTTAGTATATTTTGTTCATTAGAAGAAATTGAGAGGCAATTTGTACAAATTAGAAATGCAAGACATTAAGCCCCTCCTTAATCTCGTAGAGGAAAGCAAAACCATTACAAGTAGTGGAAGTGGAAATTAGGGAAATTCAAATGAGAAATTAGGTTGAAATATTTAACAATGAGAGTGTTTAACCTTTGAAAAACTGTGGGAGGTGCTCACTTTTCTATCCCTTATCCTCTTGTAATCAAAGCTGAAATCTTCTGGGAAGAGACAGTTTCATTATTACCAGATCTGCTTTGGGCAAGCCTGAGCAGCCAGGGCCCATACAGGAACAGTCAGAAGTGGTCACAGCACCAAACCTGAGTTCAAGAAGCATCAGGACAACGCTCTCAGGCACGTGGTGTGATTCTTGGGGTGTCCTGTGCAGGGCCAGGTGTTTGACTCAATGATTCTTGTGTGTCCCTACCAACTTATTCTGTGCTCCTCACAAAATAAATATTAGGCAAGGAATGGTTCTGAGAATCTGAAATGTATCTTCCCAAAATATAAATCTCTCTCTAAGACAAAAAGGATTAATTCCTTTCTGTTTTCATCAGGATATTTTGGACAATATCTTTCTGGACAATAGTAATATCAAGTTTCCATATGCATTTCTATTCACAAAATGATCATGCCAAAATGATCCTCGGTAGAATGAATAAGGAGTTCAGGCTCTGTGGAGGTCTTGGCATGGTTGGAAGCAGATTTTTAGTTTGATGAGAATATCACAGCTGGTTTTAAGAACATATTTCTGATGCATTCTGAGAAATCTTTTGGGGTAGGTTTAGGCTATTAAATCCTCTGCACCTTTTTTATCTAATTCAGCACTTTTCACATTTGCAAATCCAGAATTAAATAGTTCATGAAATATCTTGTAACAAATGAAGATGATGATACAAAGTAATGGAATAAGCTATTGTTAATATCAGACATCCAGGTATGCCTACCAGTTGCTGCACATACTTGGATAAAAATGATCAAAATAAACAACACTTCTTAACTCAAGGGATAAATTCTGGACAGGTAAGATGCTAAACAGTGAAATAGAAGAGAAGGTTCAACCACATCAGCAACCCCTGTACTTCTCATTCCCTTAGGCATTACAGGCAGCATTCAGAAGGAATAATTATACCTGGGAGAAGAAGATCACAAGGTTTATTAGTGGCTTTGTAAAAAAATCTTTACATTCTTCAAGCCATGTCTGTGTCCTCTGGAGAGATTGAAATGAAGGCTGGTTTAATTTCCGTTATTTGTTGCATATTGTAGAAAAGTAAACTTTCTCAGGCAAAAATGTTCTCATGTACCTCTGTAAAAACCACAGACTCTGGGGGTGTTTGGCAAAGGTCTTGGAGCATTCCACTTGCAGGTGATAAGATCATTTCACACAGGACATGTTGGTCACTGACACTTCCCAACAACCTGCAAGAAGTGGAGTGTCCTTTAGGCACCAACAGCTTTAGCAAATAAAGTAAGGGGAAATTTTTTTGCCAACAGAAATTATGAGAGAGAAGTATGGAGGTGGCATGCAATTGTCTAAACTGATTCCACACAACAAGGCTGAGCAGAGGCCTTGAAGGAACAAAACACTGGTAGAAGTGGATTTTGCTGCTTGTGTAAAGCCCTGCTCTCCAAGGAGCACATCAGTTTCCATTGTCACATTCAGACTTTGGTGACTACTGAGAAACAGGGGCTGAAGGACCTTGGGCTATGGGCATGCTTTTGTCAGGACATGTTTTATTAAATATTGGCTCTGAACAGTATGATTGGTAAGAAGAGGCTATTTTAAAATTTTATGGCTTCCAGAATCAGCTCTGAACTTTCTATTGCTAATATAAAGGTGAAACCTGCCAATATCTATTTAAGTTGGACCAAGAATTAAAAGAAACAACAAAACAAAACAAACAAAAAACCATAGGATCACCTGCTTTCTGGGACTGTTTTGTTCTCTTTTCCTAAGTCTCCTCTTCATGCATGAGGAATATCTAGTATAAGTGAGCCTTTGCAGATATCTTGTCATGTTCTTCATCAAAGTGAATCTGAAAAAGACATCGATTCTCAACAGGGAGGGCTGATGCTGACCTTCTGTCCTCTCTTCAGGCAGTCTGGCTGCTCTTGCTGCTCCAGTGCTTGGGACAGAGAGGCTGAGTCTTTGGGTTTGGATCTGCATTTCATGAGATTCACACCTGGGATGCAAATGTCTTCAACAGGAATGAAAAGGAAACGCTTTTCACAGTTTGTCTTTCACAGCAATTTGGGGTAATCTGAGATTTAATTTATTCACCAGTTGAAAAGGGAAGGGAAATCAAGCCAGCATCTTTCTTTCAAGCCAAGGTTTTTCTTGCATAGCCCCGTGCAGGCGCACACAAAAGAGCTCTGATCACTCTAACTAGGTGCTTGTTCTAATTATAGAAAGATTTAGCGTTGGTTACATAATTGCCCACTGCACATCAGCACACGGCATTGTTATGCTACAAAAGCCTCTTTTTTATTCCCCTCTCTGCGGCAGACCCAGTGTCAGCCTGTTTAACAGAAAGCTGCAAGGAGCAAAATAACTCTGAAGAAACCTCCCATAGCTTTCCCAGGAGAGGCCAGCAAAAAGCAGATGCTGACCTGCTCCCTGTGCTGGGAGCATTGCCAGCATGTGGGATCTGGCCATTAAAGCAGAGGATTGATAGCCCGGCCAGCAGTCTTTTAAGCATCCCGGGTAGAAGCAGTGGGCTGTGGTCAGGAATCAGTGGTTGTGCTGAGGTTAGAGTTGCTATTTTTGATTTTTATATGCAATAGCACAGTAGCTTTAAATGGACACCCCTCTATTATGCCCACTATCAGCCAGAGCCATGGACGTTGTGAATTTGCAAACACAAAAATCTATTGCAAAACTTACATATGCTTTAGCAGACACAAGAACAGTAGACCTTTCCCCTGTATTTTTAGGCTTTTTAAATTATGTGATTCAGAGTTGTTAGTTCACGTTCAATCTGTATTTATTTCTCTCATTTCCTCAGCAATATATCAGGTGCACATCTCCCTGACTTTTTATTTTCTTCCTCTTTCCCCTCCAATCCGTGAAGTTTCCTTCCAAAAAATAGTCTTTCCTACATAATTTGTAATCGTCCAAGACTAAGCTGCGATGCTTCACTGCTCCCCATCAGTTCAAAAGCTCCCATCTGTCCTAGAAGGGAAAGAAACTTATGGGATTGCAGCCAGTTTAGCCATCATATGGCTGATGCAGCAACTGGCCACGTGGGCCCTGTATCCTCAGTGTGCTAGCAGGGTAATCACCCTTATCTCTGCCCTTCATAATTTGTAGCTGCTTTGTTTCTTAGAGATGATATTTAGCAGCAAGTCCTCACTGTGCGGGCATTGACATTAAGGTCTGCAGCAGAGTACAAGTGAGGAAAACAAAAATGAAGTGAAGCAGGATGGAAACAAAAGGGGTACTGTGGCAGCTTGACTCTATCTGGATGGCATGTGCCAACCAGTGCTCTTCTGTCACTCCCCTCAGCTGGACAGGGAGAGACAACAACAAAAGCCTCATGGGTTGAAATAAAGACAGGGAGAGATCACTCACTAATTACTGTCAGAGGCAAAACATGGGGACTGGGGAAAATGAAATTAATTTATTTTTAATTTATTACCAACAGATCAGAGTAGGATAGTGAGAAATAACCCCAAATTAAAAAAAAAACCACCATAATTTTTTTTAAAAAAAGCTCCCTTCTTCCTGGGCTAAACTTCACTCCCAATTTTCTCTATTTCCCCTCCATCAGAAGAGCAGGGGAATGGGGGTTGTAGTCAATTCATCTCACACAAATGTATAATGCTGCTCCTTCTATCATGGGGTGGAACACCTCACACTCTTCCCCTGCTCAGTTGTGTGGTCCCTCCTCTGGAGAATTCTCCACAAACTTCTCCAATGTGAGTTATTCCCATAACCTCCAGTTCCTCATGAACTTCTCTAGCATAGCCTCTCCAAAGGGTCACAAGCCCTGCTAGCAAATCTGCTCCAGTGTAGGCTCCTCTTTTCATAGGTCCACAGGTCCTGTCAGGTCCTTCTTTAAGGGGTCACCAGGTCACAGCCCCCTTTGGGCATCCACTTGCTGCAGTGTGGGGTCCTCCACACGCTGCAGGTGGACATCTGATACACCATGGCCCTCCATGGGCTGCAGGGGCACAGCTGCCTCATCATGGTCCTCACCACAGGCTGCAGGGGAATCTCAGCTCTGCTACCTGGAGTACCCTGAGATTACCCCAGCTGGTCCAAGAATAGTGCTAATAACACAGAGGTTGTGGGATTGATCCCAACGTGGGCCATTCACTGAAGAGTTGATGTTCTTTCTGGGTTCCTTAGGATATTCTGTGATCTGAAAATAGCCACCTCCTGCCTCTCCTTCTCCACTGTCCTTGGTGTCTGCAAGAGCTGTTTCTCTCACATATTTCCACTCCTTTCTTCTCTGACTGCAATTAATTCTGCACAATAACTTTTTTCTCTTCTTAACTATGCTATTGCAGAGGTGCTACCCCTGTCACTGACAGGCTCAGCCTGGGCCAACAGCAGGCCAGCCTTGGAGCCGTCTGGTGTTGGCCCTGTCCCACATGGGGGATGTTTCTATCAGCTTTTCACAAAAGCCACCCTGTGGCATCCTCCCCCCCCACAACAAAACCTTGCCACACAAATCCAATAAGGTACCCATCAAATGTTCCCTATATTATGTTGGTCTTTTAGGAAAGTATTTAACCACTGTCCCACAGCCAGGGAGAAGGTAGTTAAATCACCTTTACAGCACTTTTTAACAGGGGTGAAAAACCTATTCATCCAGGAAGAGAGACTTGTGATCAGGATGTTTTCTGGAGTGCAATGTCATGGTCTCCTGAGCTAGTAAATGGAGACAGGGAGCAGAATAGCCCCCCTGTAATCCAGGAGGAAGCAGTTAGTGACTTGCTGAGCCATTTAGATGCTCACAAGTCTATGGGACCAGAAGGGATCCATCCTAGGGTGATGAGGGAGCTGGCAGATGAGCTTGCAAAGCTGCTCTCCATCATTTACCATCAGTCCTGGCGTCCTGGGGAGGTCCCAGATGACTCAAGGTTACCCAATGTTAACCCATCCATAAGAAGGGCCAAAAGGAGGCTCTGGGAAACTACAGGTTGACCTCAGTGCCTGGCAAGTTTATGGAATAGATCATCTTGAGTGAAATCACACTTCACCTGCAGGATACCCAAGCAATCAGACCCAGCCAGCATGGATTTTGAAGGGGCAGGCCTTGCCTGACCAACCTTATTTCCTTTTAGGACCTGCCTGGTACATGAGGGGGAGGCTGTGGATGTTATCTGCCTGGAAGGCTCTGGAGCACAAGTCCCGTGAGGAGTGGCCGAGGGAGCTGGGGTGTTTAGCCTGGAGAGGAGGAGGCTCAGGGTAGACCTTATCACTCTACAACTACCTGAAAGGAGGCTGTAGCCAGGTGAGGGTTAGCACCTTCTCCCAGGCAACCAGCAATAGCACAAGAAGACACAAGCTGTGGAAGGGGAGGTTTAAGCTGGACAGTAGGAAGAAATTCTTCACTGAAAGGGTGATTAAATATTGGAATGGGCTGCCCGGGGAGGTGGTGGAGTCACTATCCCTGGAGGTGTTAAAGAAAAGCCTGTATGTGGTACTTAGTGCCATGGCCTAATTGACTTTGTCAATTAGGTCATAGATTGGACTCAATGATCTTAAAGGTCTTTTCCAACCTAGTTGATTCTATGAAATAGAATGCGGAATTTAATTTAAGTGTGAAATTTGTTTCAGAGCACATAAGATGGGTTTTCTGGGAGGCCTCACTGACAAAGTGAGATTGCGTTACCTTGCAGTTACCGAACGGGAGTTACCTGGTTGCAATCCTGCAACCCACGGTGCGAGCGGCGCACCTCTCCGCAGCAAGGGCGGAGGCGTCAGCGCAGCGCGGCACAGCGCTCCCCCCGCCGGTCCCCCGTGGGTTCGCCCAAGGACCGCCCCTTGCAGTCCCACCGCGGCCCCGCGCCTCCGCGCTGCCGCGAAGGGAGACTACGTTTCCCGGCGTGCCGCGCGGGCCAGGGCCGTACCGTGAGCGAGGCGGAGGGGGGAGCGGCGTGGGGCGCGCGCGGGTTGAAGTGCCGGCGCGGCGGTCGGTAAGTGCCGCTCCGAGCGCCGGCGGAGCGCCCGAGCCCTCCTGTCCTCGCATCCCCCGCGGCCGCCTCGGCCCGCGCCGGGACTCCGGGCCCGGCCGCGAATGCCGGCCGCAGCTGCGGCCCAGGCGGCGGGGACTCGGTAGTGGCGGGGCTCGGCGGGGCCAGGGCTGTTCGTGGAGGCAGGAGCGGCGCGGGGCGCGAACGCGGCTCCAGGAGACCCGGCCCGGCCCGGCCCGGCCCGAAGGAGAACCGAGAGCAGGCGGCGCTGGCCCCTCGTGTCCTTCACGGGCAGAGCTCGGGCGCGGGGCTGGGCCCGGAGGGGCCCGGCCGGGGCTCGGAGCGGCGCTGGGTCGGTCCCGCTGCCCTCGGGGCCGCCAGCGGCGCTCCGAGCCCCGGGCCTCGGCAGGTGGCGGCGGGGTCACCTTCGGGGCTCCGCCGGGAACCGGCACCGTCCCGGCTGGGAACAGGAGAGCTTAGCTCGAACGTGAGGGACACTCAGATGCGCCAAGTTGGGTGAAAGTCAAAGAAGCCGCCTCACTTTGGTGAAAAAAGAGCAGGAGGTGATCCATCAAGGCAGGGCTTAATAACGAGAGGCAGTGACATCCCAAGGCTTGTTTCACAGCTGACAGGGCCCTTAAGATATCCCTAGGGCTGTCATAATGGCTCATTTACATGGAAAAGGCTCCTCTATACCTTATGCAAAACTTTGAAATACAATTTACTTTAGAGAATTCTATTTCTGTACCTCTTATTGGAGGGGTTTTAGTTATTCCCTTTTTATTGCTACAACATGCTAAGCATGAGAGCAGGAACTTTCTTGCTGAAAAATTCAGCTTTGCTGCCTGTTTATTTGCTACCTAAAGTTCTCATCTTCTGTTTGTGACGTACAGCTGGCGGGTATGGCAATAGATGTGATGTAACAAACTGCAGATTATAGCTTCAGGTAGGAATAAGATGCAAGAACAGATGGACCTGCATCCTGCTTTCAATAAAATGTTCTTTTAGTAATTGAGAAAGTGAAGGAAAAAATAATGAAAAGAGAAGCATATTTTCTGTTAAGAAAATGTTGCTGCACCTTTCGCTTTTCAATAAATTAAATTTTGCAGAAATATACAAGGAGCACAAAAATGACTTTTGAAGGTGACAGAGGATACAAGAGATCTCTGTACAAAAAAAAAAAGAAAAGGATTGGTCCTGCTGGAAGAAACCCCAAAATTTCTAGAATTCCAGTGAGGCAGGGGAGGGAGGGCAACTTTTTTTTTGGAAAAGTGCATGTACATTTGGCTGCAGTCAGGAGCCCAGGTTTATTTTCTGTTGATTTTGATCATAGATTCGAAGGAGTCCTGGTCAGCTAGCTACCCATTCTGACATGAGAAAGAGCTGGGTTGCTACAGGCAGCTGTGACAGGCACTGACAATATGTTTCAGCTTTTCTGCCTCAATTACCTAGGGTTTGTAAGGAAATAATAAAGTTTAGCTAAGGTTCATGTACAAAGGTCTCTTGTGTTATATTTGCTTATTTTGCTGATTGTGTTCTTGTGAACTGTTTTTGAAAGACTTGACCTGTGTCACTGCATGTGTTTCTTGGTTACAAGGCTCCGAGAGGAAAGGCACAAGCCAGACTGACCCTGCTAAAGCTTCACAATGAGAAGTAGGCAAGTTTCTCAGTCAAGCCTAGGAGCGGGAGGATTAGTAGACTCCATCTTGATGGGGTAAGAGCCTGGACTGTGTCAAGGGTGCTCTTGAGAGCTTGCAGAGAAGTGACAATACCTTTTGATTTTTGGTAGAAGCAGCAGGAATGGTCAATCATATTTGCTGCCCAATACCAGCCGTAGGGAAAGGAAAGAAAAATTTGCTGTTACTTTTTTTTCATATCTGAATCCTCTACGGTGACATAAAGAAATGGAAAAAATTTAATGAGTTACATGTTTATGCTACTTTATATACTGCAAACAATGAATGTAGTGATCCAAAGTGCTTAGTGGGGGAAATGTGTTGATTCCCCACCCTTGTCCCACAGAAAAAAAAGTGGTTGAGAAATGTCTCACCCCAGGCCTGTATTGGGCCTGTGATAGAGCTAGGAATAGGCTGTAGATTCCTGCAGATGACTGTTGTGCCAGTACATTCCCTGTCTGGCACTTGAATGGGATGGTGATAATGAGAAAACAAACCTCACTTGGTCACTGATCAGGTCTCCCATCTGCATTCTCTGTGATTGTCTGGCACCGACTGCTGGAGTGGCATACAACCTCCTGGGATGCATTGCCTCTTCCTAGACCACTCATCATCAGTGTGGAACTTTTAGAACTAGCCTGGCAGAGTTTCTAGCAAGCTTTGGGTGTTCTTGATGTTGCAAGAACTCTTTTTAAACCTGAGTTTTTATATCATCTGTTGTCCCCTTAAAATCTGCCTACGCTGTGATAGTGTCAAAAATTTGTGCTGAAGAACTGCCTGTTGATAGGATCAGAACTGCCTTTTGGGGATCTTGTGTTTCCTTCTGTCTGTCCACCTGTTGTGTCTCCTTGAAAAGCCTTTGGGATCCTGAACAAGTGTTTTGTTGCATTTATGCAAGGTCTAGCAGTGAGTTACTTCTGGATTTGTGGCCTGTAGACACTGTTAAGAATAGCAATGAGCAACTTACCAGTTGCTGGGTGATTGCTGAGGTCTTGGCTGGGGCCATTGCTAGCAATGTGTCATTAGGAAAGGAGCAATTAAAACTTGGATTGTCGGGTCCTCTGGGGCTGTGGGCATCAGATCACTATGTCCTTATCAGATGTTACAGTTGCTGTTTTGTATCTTGGCAGAGTTCTCCAGTCATGGCACTAAGGGCCTTGAAATTTGCCTCATTGACAGCAGCTGCTTCTGGCATCTATCTGTATGGAAACAAGTTCCTGGATCCTAATGATTTTGGAGTTGTTCGTGTGGGCCGAGCCATTGCCACAGTAAGTTCTACCATAGCGATGTGCAGGAAGGTTCCTAGATGGGTAAGGGAATTGAAGTTCACAAGAACTTGTGATTTTCTGCATTCCCTGTCTGCATTTTCAGCTGGCTTAGGAAATCAGAATATCTGTGGGGAGCTTTTCAAGTTTTGACACTGTGGGGAGAAAGGAGGTGGAAGCACATAAGGAATACAGCTGTTGTTAGCACATTTTGGAGAGAGAAAAATGTAGATACTGAGAGTTGTGTCTGCTTCCCTGGATAGGGTGGGACCTTCAGAGCAAGGGCTCACTTTGGGCCCACATTTTTATCAGCCACCCTTCAAGGTCAGTTGCCTGTCAGGTGTGGTGTCCTGCTGCTTTTTAAGAGTGACTTAGGTCAAGCCCTCTTCTCTGCATATGCCATTTGTATATTTTGTTATAAGTACTCTGGTTGTGTTGATAAACTAGGGTAACCATTGCGCTATGACCCTTGGTATGAGATTTGGGGAGAGAAGGACTGGTGTTTTGAGGATCATTCTCAAAGCAAGAGTAAAGTGAGGATGGTTGATTACATACTTCTGAGATTAGAGTGGTTTCCAGAAGTGTAAAATTAATGCTATGTCTGCCTAGCATCACTGATATTTCTCATAAAACTGGGAATGGAGACTGCTGCCTTCTCCTTGACAGTGTTCACTGATGAATCCATGGGCACCCAGGAACATGGAGAGCAGAGACTCTGGAGGGGGTATCAGTCTCCCTGTACCTCACTTGCATTATACATCTGTCACTTCAGGCCACAATCTCCATCATTTACAGACCCCCAGTGGTAAGCAGCTGTCTGTCTGCATTTTCTGTGACTTTTAAGCACTTTGTTAATGAGTTTTACAAGGAGTCAGCTCCCGAGGGCAGATGCAATAAGAAACAAGCTCTGTGGGTTGGCTCAGGTGCCATGTGTGTGCAGCATCATAAACTGTTGTGAAAAATGAATATTTATTTTGAAAAGGTGAAGGCAGACATACAGACTGTAATCTTTCCTTCTTACTTAACAAGTGCTAAGCTTCATGCTCTGTCCCTGACCATAAGGTAGTGCTGTCTGGTGGCAGGGAGCAGCTCTTTCCCTTTTAAAGCACAGCAAATTGAGTCATGGAGAGGGAATACAGTTTCTTGTTGCTGGAGGAGAATCTGTTATTTAGGGTGTTTGGGTTCTCCAATGTGTCTTTGAGTTCTGCCTGCTTGACTAGTGTTTCTCAGTCTTTCTTAAGCCACTGCTTTTGTGGTAATCTACTGTTTAAAACAAAAATAAGTGAGAAGTTCCAGTGATGAGGCTGTGCAGTTGCTCTGTGTTTTGAGTGATGGTAAGAGATTACTTTACTGAAGAATAGGAAGTAGGGGAATCGTAATATTCTTTGCTTTAGATGGTGGCAAATCACAGGCATACCCGACTTTCATGTTCTCTGCCTTCAGGGAGGTCACAAGTCATTGGCTATAAAGCGCTTCACTGGTCCTGCTCTTAAATGCTTTACAGGGTTCTGCTCCCATAGCTGCAAGCAGTGACCCCAAAACCAAGTTACCAGTGCTCAGTCTCTACAGGCAGCACAGACCGAACACTGGTAACTTGGTGAGGGCAGCATGTGTAAACCTGTGTGTATACTTTTAAAAATAATGTTTTGTCTCTTTCTGAATTATCAATTTCCTCTGGTATGTATGACTGCATGTGTTTGAGTTGCTTCTGAGAGATTCTTTAGTCTTGCTGCACCAGTGACCTCTGCCTTCCCTGGTCATTTTTGGACACTCAGAAGTCAGCTCTCATCTCAGCACACGCAGCTTGAACTGCTGTCATTCCTTAGCCATGGACCAGGTGAAGCCAATAGAGCAGACATGTTTAATTCTAAGAATGTCAGCTTTGGGATTATTCTTTTTGCAAATGAAAGATAAATCTCTGTAGCAAACAAATTATTTTGGATATTAGTGACATCTACATATACCTAAAGTA